CGGAGGACCCTATCAGGCAGGTGTACCTCCCGGGTGTTCCAACTGAAGATCCACCCCCGGTACGTCCAAAATTGTCGATCGTCTGTGCACGCATCCGGGAGAGAATCATTGTTCAGGACGTTTTGATAAGGCTGCCAATCGAATTGTAATAAAAAATAACAAGTGGATTAGTAATTAAGTTATTACAAAATAAAAAAAAAAACAAAGATAAATCACAGAAAAATAAGAACTGTAAAAAGAAATAAACAATTGAATTAAAAACATTACTTCATCCTCTCTCAGCCCTGTAAACTGATCCCGGTAGGCGGCCAATGTAGTGGCTATGTTTGACCTAGATCTCGGTCCCACCCACCTTAAAAATCACAGAAAAAAAAGTTTGTAATCACAAAATTTGATAATGAAAATAATGTACGGATTAAATAAAAATAAAAGTGATTACCTCGCTCCCAATGGACAATCAGGCACTGTATCAAACAAACTTTTCTTCACCTTTGGGCGAATACGAGGGATATGCTCCCATGCCCAAACCTACACAAATAGACATTAATTTTTTTATTAGGTATTAGTCGAAGTAAGAAAAATAAAATATTAAATTTTCAAATAATAATTAAATAAATTTACCTAGATCAATTGAACGCAGTTCTTGATCCACTTCTCTTGGGCCATGAACGAGGTCGCCAACACTCTGTATACTCCGGCTAAGAGCGCTGAACCCCAGCTGTACCCCTTAATACCATCTATGTCCTCTAGCATTTGGAGCCAGTAAAGTGGGACGCCATCCGCCCGCTGGTCGGGGAAGATGAAGGACCCAATGCACCACAAGATAAGGGCCCTCGCCCTCTGCTCGTACACGATGTCCGGTCGTCCTTCTTGCAACTCGGTCTTGCAAGAGCTCTCCAAAATCCCGATATGCAACCACTGGCCTTTAATGTCCCACTTGCTAGGGTCATGTGCTGCTTGCTCTGCCTCGGTGGCTGGAGGATCCTGAGAGTGGGTTTTCCATATTAAAAATGATAAAATTGAGTTGACATATATTTAAAAAATATAAATTATGAAAAAATATACCTGAACGTAGGGCTCAAACCCTAGCAAGTCCTTGCACCTCTCTCGCCACTGTAGGGGTGATAGCTCTAGAGTCACTCCAAAAACAGCAGCTTCATTGATTGGCAGACCGAACAGGACTTGTACGTCCTGGAGCGTGATGGTTGCCTCGCTGAAATCCAAACAGAACGTATTATTCTCTGGGCGCCACCTCTCCACGAGAGCAGTGAGGAGGCCGTTGTCGGCTTGGACTCGACCCATTCAAAACATGGGGCCGAAACCAGTTCGATCGATGGCCCTCCAAACAGACAGTGTCTGGTTTGGCAAAGCCTTCCAGAACTCAGTGTCGAAATGATGGTTTGTGAGCGTCTTGTCACGAGCTCCTGGCACATTATTAAATATCGCATGTGCCCGATGTTTGTACTGGAGATATAGAAGACTCATCCCTTGGACCGGGATGCACACTGTACTGCTGAGGCTGTGAGGAGGACGATGAAGCCATTTATCTACAAATAATAAAAAAAAAAATAGATTATGATTAAAGTTATTTATTATGCAATATTGATCAAGAACAATGGTAATATATTGTTTACAATTTAGATGCTAATAACATTAACAAAAACATTTCACAATTCGAAGTTCTAATTGGAGTCGTAATTCTGAAAAATCGAAGTTCACACAATAGTTCCCAATTTCACATTTTCAACAACATTAGAGTTTCAAACTTAAACCCTTTTTCCCTAAAATTAAAACAACAATTTAACATAATAAAAAATTCACAAATCCACCTTCAACACCTCTTCACCCCATCACTATCATCACAAATTCACAAATATGTAACAACAAAGCCAATAACACAAGCAAAGAAGCTCAAAGTAAAGAACCCCTTTGAGGCATTTTATCAAACACCTTCAAATTATATATTCTCAAACAAACTACACAACCTAATCACATTCCAAATAACCCATCAATTTAACATACAAACATATTCAACAATTCCATCAACATATCTCATTTCCATCAAA